ATCACCCCATCATTATTTGACAGATATTTGGTTTCTGTCCGGATGTGGTCAGTCGTCCGGCCTCTCAGATTGTGAGCTTGCGACACCAACTGGTTCACAAGTCTAAGTGATAGCTCACACCGGTCATCACTCACTTATCCGCATTAAATAAATAAAATTTCAAACAAACAATACAGCAAGTACGCACAAATACAAAATAGGATAGGATTGCATATGATAATTCAAGACTTAGGCTGCAATCCATTCGATCTGTTATGCCTCCACCTCCAGCCCTTCAGTGTCACTATCTAATTGCTCCACCTTCCCCACAGGAATATTGAGCTCAGCCGACTGAGCCAAGTTCTCTCGGTGCTGCTCTTTTGCCTCCTTGCTAATGCTATTAAGCCTCTCATCAATGTCCTGAACTCTCTTGGCTTGCGATGAGCGCTCAAAGAGCGGCCTCGCATTTTCCCACAATTCCAGCACCTTCAGCACATCACCATTCTTCTTGGCTATGTCCCCAAGACGGATCATACATTCTGCTCTGCTGTGGTGAACATCCATGTAGGTGAATCCCTCTAAGGCAATGGTAAACAGGCTGACAGCAGTGACTTCATTGTTCTCCATCAGCTGAACATCTCCAATGAATTGCAGAGCCTTGTGAATTGCCAGCTTCTCTTTTGCTTTGAGAGAGTATGCCAGGAAGACTGTACTCCATGAGGGATCGTGGTGTGGACTCCAGCGAGTAACATCTGCCAGTCTCTCCAGACAGTAACTTACTATCTCAGAAAACTGTCCCCACCCAAATTTGAGGCATTTACAAAACAGAGAGCATGACATATCTCCTTCTCTGAGATTCAGATCAGCTTGAATCATGTCACAACCAGTGAGCAGCCTTGTATTCCTAAACTGGTTGGAGATCGTTTGTGATGCATATATCTTTTCTTGGATCACATTATTTGAAACTCCCATGTAGACATCAACCATGGCAAAATTCAGCAGTATGAGGCCTTCATGATGTAGCTCCCCATGATATGTCTGTAGGAGTTGCCTGTAGAGGTCACAAGCATCGTCATACTCTGATTTGAGTGTATGGATTTCTGCCTCGCAGTTCCTAAGGCCATATATTACCTCCCCCTGAGACAGACCACACAACTCTAGAAGTGCACTGGCCCGTCTGACTAGAGATATGCATTCACGAAAATGGCCCAAAGCCTGGCCACACAAGGCCTCAGTGTAGAGTCCTAATGCCTCAGATTGCAAATTTCCCCACATCTTTGCAAGTCTCTGCACCTCCTGTGCACAGCGCTGTGCAGTGACATAGTCACCAGTTGACCATTTGATCCATGAAAGACGATACAAGGCTGCTGATTGTCCTTTGATGTTTTCATGCGACTTTGACAAGGAGAGGGCCATTTGACAATACTTTAGAGCCGTGGGAATGTCAAAGGATGAGTAATAGTTACCCAAACTAGTGTAAAAGGTGGCTGTAGTATTCTCTCAATATGCATCATGAAGAACAGATAAAGTGAATGTACCTTTCAATTTGGGATCATCAAAAGTCTCCAACCACTCAAAAGTCTGGGCAATCAGTGTTTTGGAATGGGGGATTGACGAAGATTCATGGCAACCAAATAGCCTAACAGTGAAAGATACTTTTGCCCGATGATCCTCTGAGTATGGAAGGAGAGAGATTACAGTGTCCACCAAAGGTGTTGCATTTTTGCCGATGTTTGCACTGAAATGAATGAACTGAGATGCACAGGAGATGCTATCTGCCAGATCGGGATGCCCCGGCTGTAATCCGTTCTTGATAATGTTGGGAATATTGGTGTAATTTAAGCTTAGTCGTTCAACACCGAGAGCTGCTGATTGTTTTCCCTGATCAACTACAGACACTTGCAGGAGCTCCTGGAAGTGTTTGAAAAGTGGTCTGATCATTTTATCGGTTGGTGGGAGAAATTTTGTCATATATTCTCGGATTGGCACTAGAGCTTTCAGCTGCTTGTGGTCATCCATGTAGGCCAGAGCAGTACGAAGCAGGGCCCTTTTACAGCCAAGGATATCCCGAATTGTAAATTTGCTTTGCTTTAGCTCTACATCAGAGAGCCCATCTGGGAGAATTGACAGCAAGCTCAACAGTTCCTGGGAGTGAGGTGTGGATGTGATTCTGGGACTCGCAAGTGAAAGTGAAATGGATTGTTCAAGATTGGAGCTTCGGTCATAACCATCTGAAATGACTGAGGTATGCTCCCTCTGCCAGCGTGACAAGATTACAGTGTAACCTTCCACATCCACTGCATGAGCAAGCAGGCTGACTGAGAGTGGCATATTATCCGTGAGCTCAAGGACTTGGTCAATTTCTGCCATTGAGTGTCTGTCTTCTGCAATATCAATAAACATCTTGCGTGCAGCATCTTGTGCCAAGGGCTCCAGAGGGGGGAGGAATGGCCGTGTCCATTGCACTTTGGAGGGTCTTTCTGCTCCTCGCATTGTAATCTTAAACTTCATGAGCAAAACAAGTACATAAGAAGAGATGAGAGTACACACCATCAATGCCAGACTGGCTATATCTGTGAGCTGGGAGAGGAATTCCTCAACCTCTTTACAGGATTCTGCTGCTGGCTCCCAGGCAGTCTCAAGGTTGTCAAGAATCAGAAAAGTTGGTAGACCCTCTGAAAGGCGGAGGAGAACTGCTCGAGTGAGGTCTTGCCCAGGTTTCATTCCGAGATGAGCCCCAATGAGACCTGCAAGCTCCACCTTGCTTGCTGCGGTGTCACAGACAACGAAGAATCGATTTCCTTGGTACTTGAGAACAATTTCTTCATGATGTAAGACAATTTGTGCCAAACTTGTCTTTCCCATGCCCCCTGCACCCAGAATGGCTATTCTCGGGGTGCTTTCCCTGAAATGATTAAGGATATCAGCAAGCTCTGATTCACGGCCATGAAATATTTTGGGCTCCGCTGGCAGCATTGAGATGGAATTGGAGCTATGAGGACCATGAACATTCACATAAAGGGGCAGGTGTTATTTAGGATCACCTTGCATATGAACTAGAATAGATATCACTGATCTGTACACTCCTGTTATTGGTGTTCTGCTGGAGACTGTGCTCACCTACAGATGATGCTGAGTCCAAGCTAGATATTGTCTCAATCATATTGAGAACCTCCTGGTGTTTAGTCTGGGCCTGTTCTTCCATTTTCTGAGCAGCAGATATAAGATCTAAAGATTCAATCTGCACAGTAGTTTAAGTATGCCAGTTTGATTTTATGTGTGGCATATTTTTTACGCAAAAGAATCTGAGTCCCTGTTGCAATCCTGCTTTGCAATCCTGTAGTAGCCCATTCAGTTCCCCCTGTCGAAAGAACTTTCTGACTCTGCTGCCATTTTGTTGGGCCTCAATAAAGGTATGAATCTTGTGGAGAGTGCTAAACACATTGAGTTAGCCTCATAGCTGTGCAACAGAGCAGAAGATTACCGAGTAAAATTTGCAATTTCATTCAATGTGCTGGGCGGTAGTTTGATACCAGTGTCTGACTTCACATAGACATCAACAATTGCATTGAGTAGTCTGTGAGTCTGCTCCATCAGGTCGGCACACTCATTTTTCTCTTGTTTGACAGTCTGAATATCCAATCTAGACTTGGTCTGACAGTGACATGTGGCAAAATGTACCTTGAGTAATTTCAAGAGGGACTGTGTGGTATTCAGAATAGCTTCCAGGCCCAAGATCTTGAGGCTGCCCACAAGGATATTGAGAGTACTGGCTGTGATGGCCACACAGGTTGAGATATTGTTCAAGTAAACTTCAGTTGACGTTTGACGGGGCATTGTGGCACGGGCCACAACATTTGGAGATCATTGAGACTTTATACTCCATTCTAAAAAAAAACCTTGGCATGCAGCTGCATAACAAAGTATCTTATAGGATAGTGAGTGATTGATTAATTTTTGTTCATCTACTTGCTGAAAGCTTAGGCAATTAAACTCTTTATAAGCACATGGGGTTTTCAGTTTCCTTTTTCGGAGTGTGCTCAGATTTATCTCCGGTGGCGAGCTGCCATTTTAGTTTATCAATTGATCTCATCTAGCAGATAAGGGCCGCATCAAGATGAAAGGGCCCCGAAGCGGTCCTTTCGCTCTTGTCAGTAGCACTTGAACTGCATTCAGCTAACACCATACATTCGGGGCCCTTGAACTGCATTCAGCTTAACACCATACATGCAGCCCCTCTTCTGGAGCAGATTCCTTCAATATCAATGCCCACTAAAGTGCTAGACTTGGAACCGGTCTGTGCTAGGGCAAAAAAATAGGGAGGTTAGTTTGCCGTAGACAGACTGGTACAACTCGGACTTGATCAAAGGGCTGTGCCCAGAGTTTGAAAAATTTGCCTGAAGCTGGATTTTGCTCAGTTTATGGGGTCTCACCAAACTTTTTCGAAAATCAGCAATTTGAAGCCTTTGAACTTAAGTTCTGTCTCCTCAGAATATTTTTTTATGCCTCAGAGGGTACCTTGAAGCGCAAGTTATCGTGCAGGAATCCAGAAAGGCCTGCGGGGACTGTGAAGCCTTCCATCGAAAGGGGTTCTACAGTGCCATGGAAGCGCCCTATAGCAGAAGGATCCATTGGGAGAAGAGGGCAAGTTGCAGTTGCTATCAAGAAATTGTTGAAGTTGTGGTGTTTAAATAGGGCGCCAACCGGGGACAGTCGGCATTCAAAAGTGGGGAGGAGATGTGAGCTATCACTTTGTGATTAGCTCCGAGCGCCCTTCCGCGCAGAAGAAAAGTGCCTGTCGGAACTGCCGGCAAAGTGTCGTTCCTGATGTGCTTGCAAATTCACAATATCGATTAAAGGCACTGACAGGTTGGAAACGCACAAAGGTGCACTCACAAAATAGAAAGGCGCACTCACAAACTGGAAATGCACAAAGGCGCACTCACAAGATAGAAAGGCGCGCCCTTGCAAAAACGGAAAAGCGCCGCGAACTGCGAGGGAAAAACAAAGCTCACACTTTAAGGCCAGACCCCGAGTTGAACAAGGGTAGCAGATCAAATATTGCTTGAACCTCAAATCAAACATCTGCGCACTAACCGCTGTGCTATCTGGCCGTGATAGACTTGAAAAGAGTCACACAGAACTATCAAAATGTAAAGAGTGCCACGCACCCTGAAGATGGAAAGACACCGTGATGAGAAAAGCGCGCCATATTAAATCAACGACCTTTCGCACATTATTTGCACACGCCGGGCGGTACTTGCGACAACAACTATTCGGAATACGCGCAAGTTAAAAAGGTGTCGAGCCAAGAAAAAGAAGCGGTTAAATTTCCCAAGGCCAGACCCCGAGTTGAACGAGGGTAGCGGACTGAATATTGCTTTAACATTGATCAAACATCTGTGCACTAACCATGATAGCCAGGTAATTGGAGAACATAGAAGGAATGATTGCCTACACAAGAAAAGGCAGCTAGAAGGGGAACACACCGTTCGAAGGAAAAGTGCGGGTGCTGTTTGAAGGAAGGCGCGGGCGCTGTTTAAAAGAAAGGCCGGGCGCAGTTTGAAGGAAAAGGTGCGGGCGCTGAAGGAAACAGGTCCAAAACGTACAAAGGCCGGGAAAACCGGCTCAAAATGCACAGGTGTAGAGGTGAAGGGGATCATTCCCACGGTTCAAATTGCCAGTGTATTCCCACGGTTCAAATTTTACTATTCTCTGAACATTGTGGACGGCAAACCATATTGCGCGTCAAAGCCTCAGGGACACCATGTTTAATCATCGTTTGGAGTGCATAGTGCCAGGTCAATCTCATTATTCCAGGCTCGTACATATAGTAAATTCCAACTAGCGGTCTGAAGAGTCCATGATGGGTCTGTAGATGGCACATGAAGCAGTCAGCTAGATGTAGCGCAAAATCGCAAGTATGCCCTCCTTGCCAATCAAATGAACGGCGCCCCCACTATCTTCCACGTACACCTCCTTCGTGTTATCAATGAATTCGGGGACTTCGAGCTCGTGAACAGAGGTGCTCCGAGTGTCGGAATGGTAGCGCACGAGGAGGAGACTGCGAGTAAATGGGGACTCTTTGTCCAGAGGGTGTTCCTGGACAACGAGTCCTACGTTGAAGCCAGTGTGGTCTAGCCACATCCGGTCTGGATTGCAATTTCCTTCCACAATTCGGAAGACACAAGCTGCACTGAACTCGAGAGGCGAAGGTTCTTTGTCAGAGTTACGTGTGAGGGTGTTCGGGATGAATGATCCCAATAGCGCCGGACCTCTTCTCGTCGGAACCAGAACGACGGGCAAGCGCCTCCTTCAAGTTTAAGTCTGTTCTGTGGGTAAATGAATTAATGAGCAGCATTTGAAGACTTGTGATCAACGGAGCCCATCTTTTTCCTTCGTTTTTCGGACCGCTTGGATACTTTCACGAACCGTCGTTTTCACAGCACGCTGGCAAATGTCAGAACCAGAAAACCCTCAGTGCACGAGATCGCCCTTGTCTACCCTCAAGACGTCCCTCAAAACGTGGCTATAGTAGTGTCCCCCGACGCCGCCTCGACAAGCTCGTCGGGGAGCGGCAGTAATTCTAAAAGTTACAACGCAGTTTCAACCAGGCAACCAGATCATCAATCTCATCCGGAACCTTGTACCAATGGCCTTCATCGTATTCCTTCCACTGAACATCACATCCGAGGCGCACGAGAACATCCCTCGCCTGCTCTCCGAGCTTGATCACGACCCTATCGTCATGGGTTCCGTGGCCCAGGAAGACCGGTGTTTGCGCAAATGCAGGGGTCCTGTCGACGTCTAGATCAAGGGATGGGAGCGAGGCAATGTCGCGCGCTATGGCCGCTGCAGAGTGTTGGCGCTGTAAGAGGGTGCGGGGTGCGTCGATGAAAGTATTGTCTTCATCGTCTTCGGCGCCCAAGATGTCAGCAAAAGGCAGCCATCCGCACATCCCGATGTACCCTAGAAGCGTCCCCTCCCCGGGTTGGAAATTCAACAGCGCATGCAAGGACGCCGCGCAGCCTTGGCTCAGTCCGCCAATAATAATGCGCGAAATCCCAACGAGCTTGGCTTCTTCGTCGATCAAGCCATGGACAAAGAGGCTTGTCTCGTGCAAGCCGTCGTATTGCAGCTCCTGCCTCTCCAGCGGCTCCTCAAGGGAGTGGTTGTCGAACCATTGGTTGATGGGTGTGCGGTTGAACGCGACCGCACGGCGTTTCTTGGCTGTGGGGAAGATGAACTTGAGCCCGGGAAACTGCTCCGCCAGGGTCTTGTTGTCAGATCCCTGTGCCTTGAGAAGCTCTAGGCCGAAGCGCTCGCCGTTGCTGCCTCGGCCGTGCAGGAGGATAATCGTGTGCGTATGGATTCCCGTTGACGGGACGATGAGGGGGTCAGGCCAGATTAATTGCTTCAGTTTGGACTTGCTCGGTTGAGCTACACTTTGAGTGTTGTCTGCCATTGCAGAACGAGGACATTTGGTGGTTGTGAGTCAAGTTCAAGTTCTGAGTTTGGCTGTGCTTTGCAATCGGGCCATCGCCTTTCAACCCAAACACAGCTCGTTGACGTGGTACTTAAACTGATTTCGCCCTCTCCGCGATATTTTACAGCAAAAGAGGGCTAGAATGCTGCCGTGGACCCTCCTTGGGGTACTTTCACTTCTAATAACGGTTCCCGACGCGCTTGCGGTCAAATCACACGACTTCAAGACATGCTCGCAGGCGGGTTTCTGTCGCAGAGGACGCGCCATCTCTGCGCGCGCCGCTGAAGCCAAATCCGCTTGGAAATCACCCTACTCGCTCGACGTACCCTCTATTGCCATTACCCCAAATAAAGCGGTCTTCAAGGCGGGCGTCAAATCCTCTCTTTACCCCGACATCAAGTTTGGGCTGGAGCTACGTGTCCACGAAGATGGCGTCGTTCGGGTGCGCATGGACGAGGTGGACGGGCTGCGGAAACGATACGACGAAGCTGCGTCGTGGGCGCTGATATCCGAGCCGCAAATTAGCCAGGAAATCACTTGGACGGCAGGGAAGAAGGACATCAGGGCGAAGTACGGGAACAACGAGGTCGTGGTCGCGTTTCAACCTCTGAAAATATCTCTGCTTCGCGGTGGAAAGGAGCAGGTCGTGCTGAACGGGCGGGGTCTTTTGCACATGGAGCATTTCCGCACCAAGCAGGTTGCAGAGACAAAGACCGAAGAGGCCGCTCCGGAAGCGGAGGAGGGTGCCGAGCAGGTCGTGATGGATGTCGCGAAGGAGGTTAATCCTCGAGCGTGGTTCGAGGGCGACACGGAGGACGACTGGTGGGACGAGCGGTTCTCGACCTGGACCGACACAAAGCCCAAAGGCCCCGAGTCGCTCTCGATCGACATCTCCTTCCCGAACCACGGCACCATCTATGGCATCCCCCAGCACGCGACCCGCCTCGCCCTCCCCACCACCGCTGGCGACTCCCCCACCTTCACCGAGCCCTACCGCCTCTACAACGCCGACGTCTTTGAGTACCTCGCGTCCTCCCCCATGTCGCTCTACGGCTCCATCCCCGTCCTCCACGCCCACTCCGCCGACTCCACCGTCGGTATCTTCCACGCTGTCGGCTCGGAGACCTGGATCGACGTCTCGCACGCGTCGGACAAGTCCACCCAGACGCACTGGATCTCCGAGTCCGGTATCCTGGACGTGTTTCTCATGCCCGGCCCTACACCCGCGGACATCTTCGCGCAGTACGCGCGCCTGACGGGGACGCCCGTGCTCCCGCCGCACTGGAGTCTCGGGTACCACCAGTGCCGCTGGAACTATATCAGCAGCGAGGATGTTCGGACGGTGCAGAAGCGGTTCGACGAGGAGGACATGCCCGTTGACGTGTTCTGGCTCGACATCGAGTATGCGAACGAGCACAAGTACTTTATGTGGGACGAGAAGAACTTCCCCGACCCAGTTGAGATGACGAACGATGTCGCTGCTAACGGACGCAAGGTCTTTACTTTTTCCCTTCGTTCTCTTCTATCTGTGGCTGAATAAATTATTTGCGCTCAGATGGTCGTCATCGTTGACCCACACTTGAAGCGCACTGACAGCTATCCCGCCTTCAAAGAGGCCTCGGACCGGAAGGTCCTCGTCAAGCCGGCCAGCGGCGATGGCGAGTACGAGGGGTGGTGCTGGTCTGGAAGCAGCTCGTGGATCGACTTTTTCAACCCGAACAGTTGGGATTGGTGGAAGTCGCTTTTCAAGACTACTGCTCTCAAAAGTGGATGGAGCTGGACGTTGAGCACGACGGATATCCACATCTGGAACGATATGAATGAGGTACACTATTTGATTGAATTTCATTGCACCAAATTGACGAGGATTGTAGCCGTCTGTCTTCAACGGCCCGGAAATTTCGATGCCGAGGGACAACGTTCACCATGGCGGCTGGGAACATCGTGATATCCACAATATCAACGGAATGCTCTTCGTAGGCCCCTTCCTTTTTGACTCGCCAATCAATTCGATTTATTTCTTCCCCAGTCCAACCTTACCTCGCAAGCCGTCCGTGAACGCACCGACCCGCCCACGCGCCCCTTCGTCCTTACTCGCTCGTTCTTCGCCGGTTCGCAGCGCTTTGGCGCGATGTGGACCGGAGATAACCTTGGTACCTGGGAGCACATGGCCGTCGGGATCCAGATGGTCCTCGCGAACGGGATTGCCGGTTTGAGCTTCGCCGGGTGTATGGCTCTTCTCCCCTTTATCCACCGTTTTCAGAGGCTGATATTGTTTTCCAGCCGACGTCGGTGGATTCTTCGGCAACCCCGAGCCCGAGATGCTCGTCCGGTGGTACCAAGTCGGGATCTTCAACCCCTTCCTACGCGCGCACGCGCACATTGACACGAAGCGGCGCGAGCCGTTCTTGCAGGAGGAGCCGTACAAGGGCATGATCAAGGATATCCTGCGACTTCGGTACACGATGCTGCCGGTGTGGTATACGGCGTTCCGGGAGACGAGCGTCACTGGTGTGCCTGTCCTGCGGTAGGATTCTTTCCTTGTCTTCTTCGGACTGGGGCTGATAAAGAGCGGTGGAACAGGCCGCACTATGTGGTGTTCCCGAAGGACCCGAAGGGCTTTGCGGT